AAAATGTCTTAATAAATAAATTTTATCATCATTCAAGGAAGAGAATTGCTTTAAACTATGACTTCGTTAACCTTCCTGACACGTAATTAATTGCACAACTGTCGTAAAAAGTGGTTAAATAGTTTCTCATTAAGAAAAAGCTGAACCTTGAATCTAGGATTAATCGAAAACCGAAAGGCAAAAGTTGAAATTAGTAGATTGAATAGACTTTTCGTTAAGAGATAGATCTGTTTGTTTTCAATTAATTCATCCACCCTCGCCCGCATTCAGCGACTGTATGCGTAAGTATGTCTTACAGACAAAAAGAGTCTACGTGTTCTCGAACGAAGAGAAGATGAGTAATTCTTTTTATACTGTTTAAATATTGTCTGCTCACAAACAACCCTTTAGCTACTTGCTTCTGCTCCATTCTACATAATGACTGTAAGCTTTTTTTTCATTAATTTCTCTACAATAATCGGTGCTTATATAAGAGCAGCAATATCTGTATAAAACCATAAGCACACATATTTTATAACTGTTACATATACTCGTATTTCTGCGCCTATTGACACCAGCCATATGAATAATATTAAAATTGTGGTTTACTTTGTGTGTATCTTAGTATTTCTGGCCGAAGATTGTCATGCGATAAAAGGGAAAAAAATACAGCAAGCTGGGAATAAACGTGGTTGCCTTAGTCTTGGCGCTGTTTGTAATAGCCATACCGACTGTTGTGGTCATGATGATCCTGAAAGCGGTCATTGTGTTCTTTGCACTGGTATTCTTCCGGGACTTTTTGGTGTTGGCAGTCGTACGTGTGGTTGTAGTAAATTTTCTGTTGCTGGCAGTCGTGACACCGGTACTTTGACTGATATTTGCGATGGTAAAGATCGGACTGGTAGTCGTGTTTGTCGTACACGTGTTGCTCCTCCTGGTCATATGTATTATCGTGGCGATGATTACTATTATGGTCGTGGGAAAAAAACTTAGTATGTTGTTGCAATATATGCAATGTCTATTCTAACTTATCATACTCCTTTTTTTTAATAGAATGTGATGCGAACTCATCTATCTGCTGCAGTTGAATGGAGTCGTCAATCATCATCCGACACGATGGACATTATCAATTAGTTAGCACTCACTCATCTTTTGAATAATTGTTCTTTTTCTTTTTTTTCTTTAAAATTTTCAATTTTATTTTAAAATGAAAGCAATGCTCTTAGATTCTGTCTAGTTGCTCAAGTTTTGTTTTGCTTAGAGCCTATCACTGAATTTTCTGGAGTCATAAATGTCATTTGTATAGGGATTTGTTGAAAATCGTGATGTTTTTCAATGTTATCTTTTGCGAATTTGTATAGAGTTTGCGTGCAAGTCTTATTACGAATGCATATCTTTCACAAATACAGAGGTACGCTGCTTCTCTACATTGTGAACCCAATCCTCAGGCGAATATTCGATATGACCTTGCGATGACGCAGTCTTGAAAAGAGAAAGTTAAGATTAGCATTCTGACTTTATTTTGTTTCTGCTACAACAAGTAGACTCTTGCTATGATATGGTTCATTCACTAATGCGTGATCGCATCTCTCTAGAAGAAGTTTTTTTCTTTTGATTTCATTTGCAAATCTCACATTTATTTTATAAAGCAGAAGTTATGAATATCTATCCGGATTAATAGCTATTCAAACATAATAGAAAAAGTTTGAATCTTGATACTATTATTCGGAAGTGAAACAAGACGTATGATGAAAGAAAAGAAATTACAATGATTATTCATCAACATGAACCTCAAGGCATGCTGCTAAAACAGAACATGCCCAGTTGTGTACGATGAAGTATAGTAATCACAGTTTTGATGGTGAAGCTAGAGTTATGCATTGGGTTCGACGTCAGTTACAACAAGAAAATAAAGATGATATACTAACAGTGGTTGCAATCAAACGAGTTCTTTACGGCAGGCTCTGTGAAAAGTCGTGATCGATCAGGAAGACCAGAGTTTACTTAAATGTATTGATGCGTAAAGAAAATACTTTGAAAAGTTACACCAACACCATTAATTGAATCTTGGTCTAACAAGGGTATGGGTGTAGGTGTGTTTATAAGATAATTCCAAGCTACTTACGACGATCGTTTCGAACCTTGCTTAAGGGTTCATCATCAGGTAAATTTGGAATTAATATAATCTATATAGAACAGAATTAAATCTCCAAATGATAATAGAAGAATTTATAAAAGTCAAAGACTTTCAACAAAACTCTAATTGTTTTGAAGATATAATTCGAAGTATCGTAGATGTTTCTATAAGAGGATGCGTTTGTAAGATGACTCGAAGCTACTTACGACGATCATTTCGGTTCTGAATGGGATATGTATGGGTTATCTCTATTTTTTCATGGCTTTTATAAATTTTAGATGATGGCTTGTGGAAGAAAAATGTAGACGACGTTTATGTAATTTTATAGTGTTGACGATATTTTGCTAAGTATTATGCTGGTTTGTTATTATATGTGCTTTCCTGCATGTAGTATTTCGATTCAAGATCATACATTGTGAAGTGGTGGTGCCAGTTAGATCGGCTTTTGTTGTTTAAAGTTCGAAGAAGAGGATGGTAAGACAGTTTGTTTTACAATAATATGTTAAAGAATTAGTTTGTCTCTGAGTTAATTACATAGGGTAGTCAAAAAGTTCTGCAAACCGCTGTCTAAAATTTCATCCTAGTTGGTTTTACTCCTCATGTTGCCCGATTCTAGTAGTGACATCTCTTATGTATTAAAATACCAATACGAAGTTTTACAAATGTCTATTATGGCAAATTTCCAACGAATTTTTTGAACACCTTGGTTTTCAGATGGAAAACAGTACATACGCTCATATGTAAAAACTCGTTTGTTATTAGGTTTAACAGCTACACAAATTCATGATGAATTAACTACTGCTTATGGACATGGTGTAGTTTCATATTGTACAGTTACTCGATGGATTCAATGATTTTCAAATGAGCGAGAATCCTTGGAAGATAATCCTCGAAGTGGTTGTCCAATAACCGCCATCACTCAACAAAATATTGATGCTGTTAAAGATCTGGTGAATGATGATCTACATATTAGTATTGATTATATTGCTACCAGAGATGTCCATCGCGGCTGGAAATTTGCCGCTGCCGCATCGCGATGAGTTTAGAAACTTCAGATCTTACCGCTGCCGCGACGCACCGCGACGATAAAAAAAGAAAACTTGCCGCTGCCGCGACGCACCGCGACGGTAAAAAGGAAAACATGCCGCTGCCGCACCGTGCCGAGATGCCAAAGGAACAAAATCTACCGCTGCCGCGCCGCTACTGCGACGTTACTACGTCGAATATCAGTATGTGACGAAATGGATAAGAATCATGAGTTTGTTAGAGCTTCAATTGAAGAACAAACAATACAGCGAATGACCGAGAACACCTGAACACTTGAAATATTAAATTAAATAACGGGTGATGCAAAAGTTCTGAATTAATTTTCTTGTCAGTATAGCGTGGCAACGAATCGTTATAGAGACTTGATCTTTTCTCGTTGGAAAGAGCTAAGTGTCTAATATAAAACTCTGTAAAAAATATTTGATTCAAAATGTTTACCAAAAACTAAAAAGCCTTAAGAACACGTTGGACTGGAGAAGTGCCTTTCAAGTTCTGGAATTCAAAAGAAGAAATTCCATCTGCAAAGAAAGTTGATCTTTTTTTCCGGCTTTTATCGGGTTTTGTAGCGCTACGACCAGGCATTGTAAACGCGGAAAAATAAGATTTTCAAGTGACCGGTTGAGTTCGAATTCAACATTTTTCTAACGTCTTTTGTTAGTACAAATTTGTCACACCTAATAAATGACTTCGAAAAATAAGATTTCTTCCAACATCAAAGTTAGCAGAAACCGCCTATTTTATATACAATTAAAGCTTATTGAGTCTTCTATAAAAGTACATTATATAAAACAGAATTCAGCTTTTCTGTTAGACATCGTGTGAAAACTTTAATTGGATGTTCTAGACGAAAAATCAACTTTTTTTTTTAATGAAACTGTTTCCTTTAAAACCTGTAGTTTTGTAATTCGAATGTTTTTGTATGATTAGAAAGCCCACGTTGCATTGGCCAGACTCACATATACCGTGCTTCCAAACATCGAAAGCCGAGTGCAAAAAAAATTAAACAAATGCTTTTCTCATCTCTAATTTTGAGTTAAATTGAAACATACTTTTTCGATACAACTCATTCTCAAGATTTTTTTGTTTCTAGTAAACATTTTGAATGAAATATTCTTCCATATTTTTGTAGTAGACAACTTGCTCTTTCTAACAAGAAAAAAGATTAAGTCTCTATGAAGATTCTTTGCCATACTGTACTGAAAAGAAAATTAATGCAAAAATTTTGCACCAACTGTTAGAAATTACTACATGGATCATATAGAATACTCTTATTTCGTCTGAATAAGTGATATTTTAGCCTGGTAAAAGCGAAAGATTATGGGAACGTTGAGAAAGCAACTGACCCTACAGAAGCATAATTTGATATACGCATGAAGTACTTGAGAATCTTGGGCAAGAAAGTTAGGTGCTATAGATAAATCTTGAGATCTATTCAGCTGGAGCAGATGAAGAAAAGTTCGCCTGTTGTGACTATATAGTGGTAAGGGAGTGAAACGATATAGATTAGAATATTTGAAATAAAATATCGGAATGTATCAATTTTATGTGCATTCTAAGTAAATTTTTTGTATGTGTTTGAAAATGAGGTTTATGGTTTCGTAAAAGAAGAATCTTGATAAGTACCAATCGAAACTTTAATTTTAACTGTTCTCTATCGATTTCTGCTGTTAATGAAGATATATCGATAATAACTTTATCATTCGTTGATGGTGGTGAAAGATCAACACTAGTCATTCAAGGTAATTTAATAGCACATGTAAAATTATACTAAAGCAAAGACAAAAATCAAATTCATTATATCCAGAAAATAAATCGAATTCTTGGTCACGTAAAATTAATTTGTAAATAGAATAAGATGGTGCTTTGTTTTGTGGATTGTGCCAATCATAATAAGTTGACTTATGAACAGAAAAACAATTCACTCTTCTTCACTTTACTAAAATGACTGCAATATAGTTACTACGTCTATTCTGTTTGTATTTGTTTTCATTCGATACATCGTTAATCTGTGTTATCAATACTTATTCATGTCTCTATCGATTATTTTACAATAAAACAAAATGTCACGAAATGTGTTGAAATTTAAGGGTCGAATAGAAAATTGGGTTAGATTTTCCTTTGCACGAGAATTAGAAATAGCTCATTTCCTTTTTTCGAGATATATCTGACATTTAAAACCGTTTACACCTAATAATGCTTCGAACATTTTCGTGTGTATAGTCTCTTATGTATATAAATTATAAATGGGATAGAATATGAATTCTTGACAATCTAGTAACATGCTTCTACATAATGTTATCATGTAATTACATGATGCTAACCTTTACAAGTAACGTTCATCGTCAAGCGATTCACTTGGCCCTAGACTGATAGAATACATGTACGGATGCAATAGCATAAAAAGCTACATTAAAAAAGTAATACGCAAAATTGATAATATAACCAGTATATCTTAGGCTAGCAGAAAACTTAATTCGGAGAATTCTCATTCTAAGCAAAGATAATGCATTTTACAAATTTAATTTTTTTTTGTCGTTTTTGTTTTATTTTTTTTTTGCTTTTATAAATATAAATAGCGCTCAATAAGATTAGACAAGAATACGATTTTTTTTGTAATTATATTGGCGCTATTTGTACGTACAAAAATATGACTTATATTATTCATAAAATTTGAGTTTTATTAATCAATATTTTATGCTTTAATTCGCGCATTAATTCTAAACTATTAATAAATTAGATATTCATTGATACAACATTGCACAATCAATCCTACAATAATGAATAATTTAAACGATTTCTTTAAATCCATACTGCTCATTTGGTCTGACTCTCACTAATTAAATGCTTTTGTAAGCGGTTTTACACCACTACCCGAATTATAGTTATTTCATTGACACATTTTATCGATGATTATTATGGGTTCATTTACATCAGTCTTTAGATGGTCATTTGTGCCATAGTTACCGGAATAGTTGTTTGTACAATGGTTGCTATATGGTCATCTGTGCCATAGTTACCGGAATAGTTGTTTGTACCACGGTTGCTATATGGTCATTTGTGCCATAGTTACCGGAACAGTTGTTTGTATCATGGTTGCTATATGGTCATCTGTGCCATAGTTACCGGAATAGTTGTTTGTATCATGGTTGCTATATGGTCATCTGTGCCATAGTTACCGGAATAGTTGTTTGTGCCATGGTTGCTATATGGTCACCTGTGCCATAGTTACCGGAATAGTTGTTTGTACCATGGTTGCTATAT